TGTACCCTAACCCTAAATTTTATTAAAAACAATTATATATGGTGTTGAACACCATAGGTGCATTTTATAATAATTGAATAAATAAATAAATATATATATATATAACGTAATAATAACAATACGTTAATGTAGATAACAAGAACTCTAATAAAAAAAGTATGAATCCTTTAATAAGTTTTGATAAGCCATTGCAAAAAAAATGAACTCATTAATCTTTTTTTTTTTACCATTTTAATAATTCTTCTTACGATCAGGATTTACATAATTAAAGGTATATATTGCAGGGTTAAAACTTTTAAGTCAATATCAGAAAATCCGAAAAAATTTATGGTATTTCATTATATTATACATTGTTTCAGAAGTTTTGAGCAAGCTATATACTAAGCATCTGATATTTTATATAGTAACCCCTGTATAATTGATTCAGTTACAAATGTGTAATTACGTAGTAAAAATTATATTGATCCGTCATCATACGTGTCGATCTTCGGGATTTTCCAGACCGAATGAAACTGAATTAGTTTGTTTTTGGCTAACCAATTATGAGTGACCGACTAACCGACCGTAACCGACAGAACCCATTACTTGAATGGTTCATTACATACAGTATTAACCCGCCTATTAAGTGTAATGCATCGTAAGCATCATAAGTCTTACTTAATGCATTCAGAAAAAAAGGATACAATGCGTTTTATTAAACGGTTTAAAAAAAAAGAGCTACGCTCTTATTAAACGAAGTACTCTTATAATTAAGTCGCTGAATCCAACCAAATCTTCTTATATTGAGATTTTTTTCTTATTTCAAGAGTTTTTTACATCGAAAGTTTCTTGTCAAATTGTACTAAAAAAAATTATATATAGATAGTTCCTTTTTGCTATCCTGGAATAATCGCGATCACTGCTTACGGGTAATTTCGTGAGGTGTCAGGCTTTAGACGCCCTCCAAAAACGGGAATTTGAAAAAATGGTTCGTAATTTGGTTCAAAACTGTCGTAAAAACAGTGTAATCCGCTTCGTTCCGATAATTATTGGTTAGTTTACAACCATATGATTTATTGAAATTTCAAGACGCAATAGATGTTTTGATTGGCTTGTAGCTCCCAAAAGTGGAAGGGAGTGTGTTAAACGAAACTACAATTTCAAACCGCCTAACAGTAAAATAATTTCTAGTTTTTACTGTGATCCCAGTTTTTAGCTAATAAAATTTTATCATTATTAAATGAATTATTGATGAGTGATATCTTTACTCAGCCAACTGCCCGTATATGTGTGTATACTAAGGGATGAGTGAGCATAAAAAGAAATTATAATGAGTCCAGTAGTACTGCATCTGCATCGGTCAGGATAGTAACCATCCCTAAAACGTTTTTGACCTGTTTTACTGACTCATATAAGACTTTTTTGTTTTCTAGTATCGTAATATTGTAAATAATGAATTTCAAATTACTTAAAACTTTTTGATGACGATACTAGCGATACTGAGAAAATTAGTATCTGGATTTATGCTACATAAAAGATCAACGCCACCTGCATAACGAATATAGACTTTAATTAAAAGCGATGTTGGCATCCGTATTTTCATGTTAGGATATTGAGAACCCTTTTTTTTAAACTAGGTTATGATATAATTTATATAAGATAAATTCCAATTATAATCACATTTGCATCCTTATTTTCGCGTCATTAAAATAAAGGTGTAAAGTTATTATTTATTATAATATTTATTTATTAAATAATTAATTAATTAAAAAGAAAATTACATGAAGTATTACATTTTTTAATTTGTTGGTACAGTAATCTATAATCGTTAACGTCAAAATATATTCTATATTCGTTAACGTTAAAATATAGATGAAATGCCTAAAACAAAGCCAGTAATCACCAAACTTCCAGCAAATCCAAATACAGAACTTGCGATCTTATTTGAAGATCCATTATCAAACTCTTTGTCATAATTATTAGGAGTTGGAGAAGCTACATTATTGTTAGCTGCAGTTTGAGTATTACTAGAAGGAGGAAGAGGAGGAAGAGTAGGTTGAGTAGGTTTAGAAGTAGGTGAAGAAGTAGGAGCAAGAGTTGCAAAAGGATCGGAGGACCCATTTTGAGAAGCCTGTGATGGATTAGGTTGGCTGGGTTTAATGGGGGTTGGTTTCGGACCATTTACACCCACAATGTTAAACGGACCTGAGTAGGAAGCAAAATCATCTTGGGAAAATAATAGAAAACTGTTTTTTTTTAAAAAAAAGAATAAATTAAATTATATTAAATTAAAAAAATTTTGAATCAAATAAGAAACACATATTTGAAAGATATAAGTTTAAATGAATGGTAACTTACAAGGGACCGCCTGGTTGACTGATATCTTTAGGCACAGTATACGTAAACGTGCCTTTTGAACCTTTAACACCGCTGCCTATTGTAGCCACTTTTACTAGGGCTGAAGAATTACCTATTTAAAAAGTTCAATATTCAGTATGACAATTTACATAAATAATAAACTCTGTAAGCAAAACGCTATTTTCGCTATTATCTCAATTTAATTTTTGTCAAAGATAAAGTGTGTTGCAAGAAATAACAAACACTTTAAAGTGAACCAAATATCTCAATAAGAACATACCAAAATACAAATCAATAGTCAAATCATCTAGATCACTTAACAATGGATCTTCTCCGTTATCGCTCCATTTTATCTGTTCTTTTACACCGCCTTTCCAAACGATTTTATCGAACGGACTATTAACTACAAGACCAGCATGTAAAGTTGATATTAAATATGATATTATAGTTATAATTATTATTGAATACTTCATATTTTTTTTGGTTTTGTTTATTTCTTGTTTTTCTTTTGTCTAAAAAAAATTCGATTTATATAAATGTTTAAATGAACTTTTCGGTAAAGTATTTGTCATATTGTAGATCATGTGAAAATCTTAATTAAAAATTAATTTACTATGAAATTCCGAAATCTAAAATAGTTATAGAAATATAGTTTAATTTTGAAAAAAACTGTATAATGTTCATTATAATGCTAGTGGATGATTATATTTTCGGTTAAAGGGTTTACCAACGACGGAGTAATTTCTATGCGACTTAATTATTCAAAATCACGGATAAGTCACATAACATAGCCAGGCAATGGAAGTAATATTTTATTATGTCGGTGTAAATAAGGAATATCTTATTTATTATGAAATAAAAATTTATTTAAAATCAGAAATAAAATTGTATATCAAATATGAGGCGAACCATTTTTCATGTGCTAACAGAGCGATCAATAGGACTACAGTACACAATATCCTAATAAAGGAACTAAGTTGAAACAGAATTGCGTATTGCTACTGTGCGGAGATCAATAATCGACGATAATGCTGTAATTTAAATTCAATCAATATACATATTATGTTAGGTACTGTACCCGATTTGTTACGCAGATCGTGTGTGTAAATTTTGTAATATAGGGTCAAATGATCGACGCACGACATAAAAATTTGTATCTAATAATAAAAAGGCTCGGTTTAATTTCTGAGTATCATTTTGCAAATACTCTAGCATTAAATGTTCTTATAAAATGGAAAGGAATGCGTTCCCCATAATTTGTACGACTTTTATCATTTGTTTATAAGTGTTGTAATTAGAGATGGGTTTCATGCGTGCGCATGATTCCTCAATCGTGCGCATTAATGCGCATGATTCGGAAACATGCGCATT